TTTTTTTTTTTATTTTTTTTATGCATATGAAAAGAAATATTTTGAATTTCATTCCAATTTCACTAATAGCTTTATCTCCTCCCTGTCTCTCCTGGTTCCTGTAAGAGTCATTTAACTTAAGGTTCGCTAGTTTTCCCACCTTCCCTGGTCAGCGCCTCCTTTCGAGTAACAGATATACTAGCACTCCTGAGGAGCTCAGTGACGCTTCTTCGTATTCTGTAGAGGAGCGTCTTTCTTCCCTCCAGTTTACTACCTGCTCCTTCCTTCTTCTTAGGGGAATAGCCTAGACATGTCTTCAGCTGCCAGGAAGTTTGATCATTTCAAGAAACCTGGTTTGGATCCATTCATTTTAAATATCTTCCCAACAGTTTCGTTTACAGGACATGTTTACCTGGTCCCAGTTGATGTTTCTTGTTGTTGAGTTGTATTTTGTGAAACACCTTCACAGGTACATGCATTCTGCTGATCAGGACCCCTATGCATGGTATGTCTGGACTTCGATTATGTTGTGATTGGGAGTAGTTGTTTTTCTTGATATTCATTATGTCTCTTATCAGGTGCCTCATTATTTGTGAAGATAAGGTCAAAGTGTGTATTCTAGTACTTCCTATTGGCCCCCACTAAACTGCTTGCTTAAGGAGTGTTTATGCAGAGACTAGGTGGAGCTGCATGTGTGTGTGACCATTTCATCTGCGCTACATCCTGGGGATTGTTTCCAGCTATAAACCATTTATTTGCTACATTCATCCATTCTGTATGCCATTAATCGTTGAAATCACCAAGCAGAAGGATTTTTCTGGATAGCTGGAAGGTTTTCCAGACATTGTAATCAATTTTCAGTATCTGTTTTCTTGAACTGTATGTGAGAAGTTGCCTCCGGGTGGCTTTACATACAACCACAATGACTAGGTTTTGGTTCTCATCTCTTTATTGATAGAACTTCAACTACCTCATTTCTGGTGTTCCAGCAACTCCGTGGACAGATGAGAGACTCTTTGACATACAGGCCAACCCCCCCTTGTTGCCTGTTACCATCTGTCGCAAATCAAAAAATTTTGTAAAACTGTATATAGCAATATGACGAGGTTGTATTCTGTGTTTGTTGGGGAGATTTTGTTTTTGGCATCCAGTAAGTTGTAATTCTGGAGGGCCATGGGTGGACCACTGGCTCTGCGCTCCAGTCCAACAAGGCTCCAAGGAGTGTGACTATTTTTAGGTTATTTCCTTCCATTCTCTTTTCCGATTCCTGCCACTAAAAACATCACTCTGGAGTTTTGTTGTCGTAGCTACTATGTATTGTCCTTGTGGGGTCTGTGCCTCCTGGTCCCTTTTAGATGGTATCAGGGCAGACCGATGTATGTAACACTGCTTCTGGAGGACCGAGAGTGATCACGATTTTTGGTGAAGAAAGAAAGTACAGGAAAAGAACGACACACTCCTTTGGACAGGAGGAGTTGCTACATTAAGTTTTGGGATGGCTGGAAAGAGTTGCATGTACCCATATTTTTTTCCTGATATTCCATGATTAAGATGCCCCAAGCATAATATTTGCACAAATTACTCACGCTTTGGTTGAGAATTGTTGGGAGGTGTGTTTGTCAGATTTCTGCATGCTCGATGGGACTGCACTATAATTCCTCAATATCGAATCCAGGGCCACCCCATCCTGGATTCCATCTACATTTCTCCTCAGTAAGGAAGGAGGGAGAGACTCCCTCTCCAACAGTCTTTCACTGTGGGGCACATGTCTTCGGCAATGATGGTTTGTATATTTTACGGTTTTAGTGGTGGTTTGTGGAGGGTCCCGAGTAGAGTCTGGGCTGCAGTAAGGCTGGGGACTAGGTCTGAGTCAGCACTGGTGGCTGGGGGCTGAGCCTGGGCAGCACCAGCACTGTTAGGTATTAGTGCTTTGATGGGGGATGGTCTGGTTTAGCACTATTGGGTGACTATAAAAGTTTTTTCCGAGTCATCTGTTTCGATGGTGTATGGGCATTCTCATTTTTTTAATACACTATCTCATGGCTCCCATGTTTTATATATATTTTTATGGTAGACTATCACAAGAGTTTCATCTGTTTTTCATTGATTAATATTTATCAATTATTAGTCTCCTTAGTACTTTCTGATACCTGCCCAAAGTTCTTCATCTTTTATTGACAACCAGAAATCCTTGCTTAGTATCGAGGTCAATTTGAGGCTGTATTTTAGTATAGTACAAGAATATGTGTTTGGAAAAGCAATAGCGATGATGCATGTGAGTCTGGATTTCCTTCCCTAGGAAATTTTTTTACATTCCACATACAGATATGCTGTGTTGACAACCTGTCTGTTTATCCTACTAACTCGGTATGCAAGGAAGAAAACTGAGATTCCACATTACCTTTCTCTTGCTGGTGAGCCAGTAATATTGGGGGGAGCCCAAAAAGAAAAAAAAAAAATGTATTATATGAACCAGAGTTTGCATGTATGCTTGGTGGGTGTGTAGGTAGGGTGGTGGGGTGTAGGGGGGTGTGAGGGCAAGACTTACCCACACTGCCACACTTTACTATTATTTTTATTATTATTATTATTATTATTATTTAATTTCTTTTTATTTAGTACTGTACACTGTTTATCTCAAGGATATACACTGTATTCTTTCAAAATACACTTTTCACTGCGCTATACTGGGATCATTGTTTTATTATTTACACAGCAGCTAGGCCTATGCTAACTTTCCCCTACACTTCTATGGAAAAGTTTATTTCCTGTTTAGTAGAGGTAACGGTTGTATGATCAATTTATGTATGCTGTGATTCCCTGCACCTCAATTCCACCACCACTCGTTTTATCTCTTGTGACTATAGTAATTACTCATCCGTTATTAACACTTCACTGGACCTCTGGCAATAGTTCGCTAGTGCCAGTCGCTTGTAAGATATTCCCATATCTACACTATATATTGTACGCTATACTGAGGGATAATTAAGATATTCTTATCTACAATTTAGCTCACTATGTCACTGCACATATATATCCTTGTCACTCACTATATTACTTACAGATAGATCAATATTTGTTTATTTCCACTTGTGTCGACATCCGGCAATAATTCACTAGTGCTGGTCAGGTCTATTTCCCACAGTAACCGTTCCTCCACCGGCACTCTCCATGTGACACTATAATCCATATTTTCCTATTTAGTGTTCACTGATATTCCTTTATTGTTTGTTCAAAGGAGTATATGCACTTTATGGTTGCACACACTTATTTCCCGCATTCTGTTCCCTCTGCTACTATCAAGACACGCAGTTTTTGACGGAGCACAACCGCGCGCGACTGTCCCTAATCCTCCCAATCTTCAGTGGTGTGCTTAGCTTAGCTTATATATATTTATGTTCATGTTTTGAGTATGTATGCCTGGCTTCTCCAATGAGCGTGACGTTAGTCATTACGTGAATTAAAAACCTCCTGTGATGACATGATCTGTAAGAATCATAGTCAAGGTCAGTGTCATAACTTAACATTAGTGCCAACAGGATGGCAAACAATTCAGTTTACAGTGTAGACGCCCAGTTGTTAATTCTTATGCCTAACTCAATATACTAGTTCCAATTGATCTTAAGCAGGGAGGTGACAACAAGAGCAGCAGATGCAGTCCTGCCGGTAGACTCCTGCTTAAATCCATCAGCGTATATAAATTGTGATAAATTATTATTAACAGTTAAGCTAGAAATTTCTTCTTGAACGACTGCCATGAAGGGGTGAAATGCTCTTGTTGTCTACAGTAATACACTTCGTGCAAGTTATAAAACTTTATATAATTGCATGTTTTTACAACCCAAAAATAATTCTGAGGGTTTCATTTTGCATTAACTCCTCGGGCTGGACAGAATTTTCCCTGTCTAATATCAACATGGGCACACCATAATCATCTGAGGATCTAATATGTGCTATGTACATCATTCTCGCTATTCTAACTTTAGCACCATAGTTGGGGTTGTAGCCAACAACAGCTATGAGAACATGTAGCTTATCTTTGCATTTCTTATTTGGTTGTGGTAAGATGGATTTATTGAAGGATCCGTCTACACCAATAAATCTTTAAGATTTAATGTAACTGATTTTTTCGCCCTGCAAACAGATAGGTGAGGGATGTCGTTTGCTTGTTAATATCTTTGTTTTACATAAAGATAAGACAAAGCCTAGTCGATTACAAATTACTCGACATTCGTTAAAAATATTCATCTCATGAACTGTTGTATGGATCATTATGTCATCATCAAAGCTTATAGCTATATGTTTAAGTGAGATAAGTAGATAATTTAGGAGAGCATTAATTAAGTAATTAAACTGCATGGGACTGAGAACTCCCTGCGGTGTCTTGGTAGAGAACAGAGGATATTCTGTTTAACAGATATCCTATTATCATATTATTCCATATTCATTTTGGATAGGTCATGCAGTATAACAGTTTTGTTTGCGATATCAAACGCAGATTTTTTATCAAAAAATGTGGTAAAACTGGCAGGAGTGTGTGTGCAATGAGAAAGGTGGAAATACAATTCTGCATACTTTTTCCTTTCATGAAACCATAGAGATGAGGCGAAAGTTGGTGTCTGATTGTATAGTATAGTCTGGCAGTGAAGAAAACGAGAAATGCTGAACAGTGAACGTGTGTCACTCTTGGTGGTAGAATGGGCTGCCCCGCATATCATGTCACCCCTATGGACTTAGCAATTTCTCGCGATAATAATAGCACATGTAGTTAGAACTGTTTACGCCAGGAATTACTTCTATTACAGTATTAGTGTTAATGGAAGCGCGCTAAATCCGTGCATTATTAAATTTACTAATATCGTGAAGAATATATGCATGCTTTCCATTCTTTGCCTAACAGGAAGACATCTTGTTTGTAAGATTTGTTAGTGAAACTTAATCAGAATAAGCAAATGTTCTATTATAAATTTTTAGTCTCTGAACCAGCAGAGAAAGATATCTGCCGTATTGCTGATTCATACCAATGACAGTCTCCTCCTTAAGCTGTCTTGAAAGGAAAGGAACAGAAGGGTAGAGTCTGAGCGCTTCTTTGATGCAGTTTTCAAGGTATTTCATCTGTCTGAGGTCTGCCATGGTGGCTGGGCGATCAGTTCCGCCGAAGATGCCGTCCAGCTCCTCCTGGACTCGAACCTGTCAATACATATAGTGACTCCAGTCTTATTAGGAAGAAACAGCCAGTAATAAGGAGCTAAATATTAGAGAAAGCAATCATCAGTGCATTTAAGCAACACACGGCTCTGGTGGTAAAGAGAACAAAACGAGAATTGTGTAAGGAATGCTGGGCATAAGGCCTATGTTGTGGTGAAACTACAACACAGGCCTTAAAAACTTACAGATCTGTAAAATGTGATTTAGGCAAAACAGCTCAAGCCTTCATGCTCCTGTATCTAGTGTAAGATCAGTTCATAAGTCATAACCCACAGATTGGAGATAAATCTTAAAATAACGTTTGGGTCTGTTCTAGGCTATTAGCAAGTCGTTCGAGTGAAATAAAAAAAAAGTATGCTAGAAAATAAGTTCAGGTAAAAAGGTTATGAGAAGAACTAAGGTTATACAAGAATTATGAAAACAAGCATCAAACAAAAACGGAACTGGTAACAAGAAAATTTTACGAGTTGTAAAGTAAAAGGAACACAAGTGCAACTTATGGAACTTGTTTTTACTTTAATATTGTCGGTAATTCTACCAACTTTATTACAAAGTTATAGTTAGGAATGTTGGTATAATGGGCAAATCTAAAAGATGGGCATCTGTAAGACCCTGGATCTACCTACCTGGGAGCGTGTTCCGAGGGTCTACGTCCTGCGCGGCCCAGTGCCTCCAGGTGGATTTAGGGGCTTGGATCAACACGTTGTTACTGCTGGGCTTCAGCAATCAATGTACGAAACCACAACCCGAGACTGATCGAAACACTGACTTCTTTATCTGGTCCCAACTCCCTCTTGATAGGACAGACCAGGGGTCTTTTGATAATCCCCGTATTTATGATAGGAGCCATCTGAACAGCCTTGGGTTCCTGGACAACTTACTGTGTTTAGTCTTAGTGTATGACGCACCCTTGGCTTACATTCGGTGTATGTGGCACTATCTGCCGAATTCTTTTGATTTCATAGGGAGTGATCTTTGTGTGCAGATTTCGGGACCAGCTCCTCTAGGATTTTCCAGCTGTAGTTTCTGTTGTATTATTTTCGAATGCATTCGGGGGAGTACAGGTCATGGGATTTCAAACGTTCCCTGTAATTTTGTATGGTGCTTGAATGAATAATTATATGTCGCAGTTGAAGGTTCTCTGAGCTACTAGATCTGCAGGTCTCGCCAGTCTTGAATGGGGATATTAGTGTACAAAAATCTTCCAGGTTTTAAAGAGGATCATACATTGCCTTTGGACATCCCTTTTTTCTGAATGTTCTCATTTCCAATCCTATTATTTTCCTACGCAGCTGCTGAATATATGGAGACACTATTGTTGATCCTTGGATAGTGTGATCCTCTGACCACTTATCGCTCCCAAGTCCTTTACATTACTTTTTCGCTCATTGCTTTATGGTTTTAATTTTTTGTCTATACTGCAATTTAGCTTTTAATTCCTCAGGTGTTCCCATAACGGAGTAACTGAACTTTGCCTCACTGATCATTATATTCTTTTTCCGATGGCCATTGGGAAAATTTGGTTTGTATCTTCTTGGAGATTCGGAAGTGTCTCAATGAAAAAATATGTCATGAAAATTCTAGTTTCATCTGAAAAGGAAGGACAGTGCTATGGTTTATATCTTTATCTACTTCAGGTACGAGGATGAGGGAAATGACGGGAGACGAATTTACTGTTCCTTGAAGAACACAAAACTTATTCACTAGTGGCTGCCTTCGAACTTAACTCTTGTTTACCATTACCTTTGTGTTTAGTGACTTAGAAAGTTAAATGATAATTTGCCCACTTTTAAAATTCTTCCCTTAATCACTCATTTTGTGCGCATTACACCGTGATTCTCACTTGTTCGAAGGCCTTTAGCAGGTATGAGTAGAACTACTTCTGGCAGGAAGGACACAGCAGCGACCTGCTATAAGCACCATGCACTGCATGATTTATGCAATTGTTGGGAAACCAAGTGGTTCGCGATCTTTTAGAATTAAATTAATCATTTTTATAATATGGGACGTTACAGCTTTTTTTCGATTCTTATAACCAGAGTCTTTTGGTAAGATGGGTAGAAGAAAGGATGGGTAAGGGATAGAAATTATTGGAAATGGGTGGGAGGGGGGAGTGATAGGTAGGATAATAAAAGGTAAGTGAACAACCACTTTGGTGCAATTTAAAAAAAGTGTTATGTGAAATAATAGGGGTATTATACTAACCCATTCAGAGTCAAATAGATTATAAAGATATATAGTTACATGACTCTGAATTGGTAGTAAATATACAAGTTGCAATTGCCTATTTTTTTTTTTTTTTTTTTTTTTTTTTTTTTGCGACTGCATAACGAATATTTAAACGATCAAGACAAGGCGGTTATCTGGAAAGTTTCGTAAAGAATAACTTGACCACGTTAGCTGTCGTCTTTCAAGGTGGTGTCCGACATAGTAAATGTGAGCTATTTATAAACAGTAGATGCGTTAAAAGTAGAAGTGTTATACAAAGATGTCTCCTAATGATTTTTTTTTTTTTTTTTTTTTATTTTATTTAGCTACATTACAATACAAGAGATAGGATAAAGACAAAAACAGTTCTAAACAGAATAAATCATTAACACCACACAAACATGAACTTGGATAACACAAATATCCCTCCTCACACATACATGGAAAAACCCCAACACCTCTGATAACCAAGAAAAACGAATAGTTCCAATTGCCATTGTTATTTGATTTAACAAACACACCATTCATATATGCATATATTGTCACTTTGTAAATTTATAAAGTAGGGACACCTTATACGTTAAATACAATTAACTAATGTATTTTGTGAAATAAGGTAAAACAAATATGTTCATCAAACACAGAATATAATTAATAAACAAGGATCCAACACCACTCTGACTCCCTCTACAAGCATCTAAAACATGCATCATGAACTTACATACTTAGAAACAATGTCACACTGCAAAATCAAACACATATAGTGTGTTTACTCGTCACAAACATGAAGTACACATCTACGCCCAAGTTCATACACATTTCACCGCTTTTACATAACAAGGACGGCGACCAAGTTTCACACCCCTTTGTAAGCGCCCACCCTCAACATAACACTTTATTCCTTCCCTACATGCCCCAAACACAAAATTTACAATTTTTATTAAAACTCCTTCATGTAGGTTCTCTATATCCCTCAGAAGAAAAGCCCGCTCCCCCTCCTTCCTCCCATAAAGTTCTCTTTTACGGCATAACAGTTTTTTAAAACGTAACACGCCAATACCCTACATATTCACCTCACTTGACCCCTTTCCAACCTCATTACCCCAAATAATGTATAATATTCTACCATAATGTACCCCACAGCCTAATAATATGTCATCCATACCCCCACATCAAGGACTCAATGCCCGCAGAACAGAGAAGTATTGACCACTTATCTTATGCAACTCACTATTCTACAAACCCCTGGACGCTCCCCAACACCTCTCACAAAAATTCACTACATTGGAATGCGAAATCCCCCCGCACACATATTCCACTTACCCCCCCCCCCTAAACCACCCGTCAGCTCGTAAGACCACTCACGATGGTAAAATCCCATGCAAAAACACGATACTTCACCTCACGTCCTCGGGGTTGTAACCTTAACCTACCAAACTTCTCCATATACATCCCCAGTCATACATGGGGAGAAAAATCCCCTACACCGGAGCCAAACCTTTCCGCACAGAAATACTACACAGCCTACTTACTTTTACCTTACCCAGATCCTAACCATCACCACTGCCCTCAAAATAGTTTCACACTCCCTCAACTCCGATCCAGAAAAACATGGCGTTTCAATTTATTGTGTCCTTAACAACCCCCCCCCCAATCACACCATCCTCTCATCACCTCCCTTTTAATGAAGATACATTTGACCCTCTCTTTAAGTTCATTAAACCCAGAACCCCCCCTGACGCCCCCCCCCCCCCCCCCCCCCCCCCCCCCCCCCCCCCCCCCCCCCCCCCCCCCCCCCAGTGAAACATTACTACATCCCATTCTAAGGCCAATCAAACCTGAACCCCAAAAAAATTTAAAAACCCCTTATGTTTAGTTTGCAATTGCCTTCCCCGTTAAAGGGAACAAGGCAGCCACATGCCAAAACCTTGCTATACAATTAAAAACGTTAATTACAATGGCACGGCTGGCACAAGGGTCAACATGATAAGCGGGACATGCTCCCAATCGACAGTATCCTTTCTACCAACCTGGTCCGAATTATTAACACGTGCAACCTGAAGATCATCTGCATAGATTAGACCACAAATTTTTAATGACATCACCAGCTTCTTAAGACTGCACTACCCACTCGGACCTCTCCACCCCAAGTTCCTAATCCCATAACCATGGACTTCTTCCGAATTTACCCACTCATTCCAGAGTTGCACATGCAAACGTGTCGACCAACCTCACATCTAAGGCGTTTATGGAAATCCCCTCTCTAACCAATACAGTTGGTTCAATCTACATCCCTTTGAGAAACAGGCCAAACGCCCTACTCAGCACCCCCCCCAACCCCCTCCACTAAAGCCATATGGCGCTCCGCCATTTCTTATAAAAGGGAGTCCTGTATGCACGCAAATAAAAGCTGTGACATAGGCACCTGTTACTAAGACCTCTGCCCATTACAATCCCTCCCCCCTAATCTTCCTTTAATCTGTACTATCACCATTGCCCCCTCATATATAACGCCCTCTAACCATCCCAATAATTTCTTCCCCATAGACTGTTTCTTAGGATAGCCTCAAACGCCTCTCGCTCCACACTATCATAAGCTCCTTGCAGTCTAGTGCAACAAACCCCCCCCCCCTTCCCCCCCTTTTTCTTCCACGAAATCCCTTAAAAAGAACTTGTCCACCCCCATAGACTACTGGCAAACCCAAAAACTGGGGGTTTCGATTAAACCTCCCTACATACACATAGTGAGCCTCCTATTTCCTAAAATTTCGCAT